CGGGGAAGTACAAGGTGATGTAGCTCCCAGCGCGCTTTTGCAATCCCGGCATGTCCACGGAGAGGGACTTAAGAGTAAGCTTCCCTGACACATCAGTAGCCACCATCAACTTCGGAAGAACTGCGGTTAAGCAGGATGCCGTCACATACCTTCAAAGAGGCAACTTGGAGCCTTCATCTCTTAATTGCCTCTCATGGTCTTCGGGCTGACATAAAACCGCACTTGAAGCTGTCAAACACTATACCCCACGTCTACCGAAGCAGACGCTCGGGGAGGTGGAGCGCCTACCGCCACAGTCACCTACTGGACTAACAGGATAAACGTGAACATTGCCTACGCAACGCCACCTGTTCAGTCTATGCCAAGGAAGAAACAGAGGCGATCCGATTAAGGCTATAAGGATTATCCATGGAGTGCACCCACACGATAAGACAACGTAAGCCATCCAAAACCGACAGTCCCCCGACAGCCCACTCGTGTGCCTCGCCAGAAAGCCAAGACGAGGGTTAGATCTAGCTTCTGCCCAGGAGCCTCTGCGCTAAATGGTGGTGCCAATGACTCCTCAGCTAATTCTTTCGACCAAAATGCAAATAAGTACTTGAGCGGATATGTGCTGTGACTAGAACACTCTGGTAGCAACTGAACGCCCACTTATCCATCCCTGCGTTGACCCACCCTAGCATCCACACTGCGGATCTTACTCTTTCATATTAATACTCGTAACACCGCAAGTTGCCACCGGTACTTTTCACTCACTTCCCTCTTCTGGCAATCTTTCGCACTACTTTAAAAATAACGCCTAATAAATACTCATGGTTGCCTAAAACGTTTCATTGATCCTAGGGGCAACTTCATTTCTCTACCAAATGAAACTGGTCCGTATTTTGCAAACGAAGCCTTCAACGAGACAACCACAACCTTTAAAGCCGTGGGCCAATAAACTGAGAAGACGCCTGCTTCCGTTGATGGTTCGTTACCGGAAAAAGGGCCGGTCCTCAAGACCTAGGCATAAAGGTTCAAAAATTATGATTTTCGTGCCTTCGGTTTCAGATTTCGGGCTTAGGAATGGCAGGCCAAGTCTTCATTAATCCTGACAGTATAAATCTTTGCTCAGATCCGAGTTCTGCTTGAAAGCGTTCACCTTACGAGTAGCCACCACGAGTTTCGGCGATGAGTCCCAACCGTTAACCAACCTGCGAGCGAATCTGAGTTCCATTCGCAGCCCACCGGATCACGGTCTATGGACATTTTGTGGTAACCCCCTAGATAACCAGTCCTAGAAACAGTAGGCAGATCAGAGATCGACACCCTAGTCATTATTCCTGACTCAATACGATTGTATAAGATCTCACTTTTTCCTGGGAGGCGATAATAGTAAGAGATTTGGGCTTTCAGCCGCTTTTCACAGGGAAGACGCTAGAGTCCTGCCACCAACTTAGCATTGCCCTGTGTCCGTCCTGCAGTGTTTGCAAATTGCTTGAAGTGAGGGCTAATTGCTGCGCGCCTTATTTTAGATGAGGTCTTGCATAATGGGACACAGTATCTTAAATGTTTCTCGACCAAAGTGCTTGGGGCTCTTGTGGAGTGGTGACTGTATGCGGAGGACCTTGGCGGCAGCCTGATTACAGTGTGCCGCTGTTTTCAAGCCACAGGGGAAAACAACCCCTGGATGTTTTTGTTCTTTATCGTAAGCTAGTATTGGCCCATCCAGTGGGCGAGGGTGGTATGGCTTGCGATCGATGCGCGTTGCAGCACTTTCGCCGCAGTTTATTCCAGAGCTCCAGGGTTGAGGCACTCAGCCGAACCATGTAAGTCAGTCTTACGTGCCATCTTACCATCAGTACCATGGACAGTCATTCAAACTTCAACTTCATCGGCTAATAATAGGGATGATAGCTGAAGCGCACCCGGCAGTTCATTGCAATAGATAATCAGCAAAATCGGCCGTAGTGCAGTGTCTTGAGGGACCCCACTACCAACCGGTTCCCATTTTGCCTCCTGCCATCCAGGAGACACCCAACTCACTCTTGCATGTAGGTGTCTATGCCGAAACTTATGGCCTCTTCATTCTACCTAAGTGGGAAACTTTATCAAATGCCTTCCTAAAACAGACAAATGCCACAACAGCAAGTAGTATTTTATCTCTCGCTTCTGCCCAACCGTCCCTGGCAGGGAGCGAGCTCGTTAGGCAGGAGCATCCGGGTTGGAAGCTATTGTTGTTGTGTCAGTGAGCCCTACGCTCCCACATGGCCGGTAATTTTCCCGCAGTTACTTCCTCCAAACTTTAGTCACCGCACGAGCGAAACCAACCGGACAATAGTCAATAACCGACCACCTGTTACCATTCTTAAAAAACGGAACACACCAAAGCATGTTCCCCCCCTCCATGTAAATAGGCACGGGACAAAGATAAATAAGGTGTATTTGTTAGCTGTGGGGGGATAGTGTCAGTTAAAGCCGGTAGAAGTCTCTAGTATGGACCATCAGGACTTTGTAACCTACCAGGTTTCACGCTACTTAGCAATCCATGCCCTTCTTCAATATCCAGTGAAATAGGAACCACTTGCCAGACCTCGACCACGGCCGCGCCTAGCACCTGTGTGACTATCTACCGAAAAAACCGACCAATTCAGTCTGATGGCCATTAGCCTCATCCTGTTATCCAGTGGGCTGAGTATCCCATTGTACCTCTTGGTCCTGAGCCCAATATGCGAGTACAGGCTTTTAGGACACGCGGCGTTGAAATGCACTAGTTTCTTTCTGCATTCAATGCGGCGCCCGCAGTTTTTTCTGTTTTTTTCTCGTCGTAGAAAAGCAATTCACTTCTAAATGTTGTCTTGTTCATCATCGAGAACTAATTATTTAAGGAACAGACCTTGGCTGAAACCACGCTACACTGAGGGTATCCAGCTTTACCGCGTTCACAATACCTAACTGCAGCAGCAGAAATAAAAGGTCCAAGTCCAGGATTTACTCGTTATAAAAGTGATCAAGAAAGTCCAGCACTTACCAACCTCAAGGCTGTCACGACCAGTGAGGACGACGGACAATATATCCTGGAAGTCCGCTTAGTGCATTCAAACAAGTCTGTTGCTTATGGATGCCGGGGCTGGAAAAGTGGAAATATTTGGCTCCCAGTCGTAGCATTCATCAAGATTATCAGTCCCTGATGTAGAATGGTATTAACATGCATGAATTATACAGTTCTGGAATCATCAATGAAGCACGACAAGTAAGAAATTTGTGCATACATTCTATCATAAACTTTTCATCATTATCTCAAGCACAAACTGTTGCAATGGAAGTATTAGCTTCAAGCCTTACTTTTTCCGGGTAATACATGTAGTGTCGAGATACAAACCTAGGTTTTTTGTTAACGCGAGGGCAGTACTTCCACTTGTCCGACTTGTAAATTTTTGCATACTTATTCTTCTGGGATGTTCCGATATATGAACATGCGGCAATTATATCTTCTAGTGACAATAGGTGGGGATTGAGATTACCTTTCATGAAGAAACATGTAATTTACATAAAAACTTATTCGCACCTGTAAAAGTGGAGTGTCCGCATACTCAGGGATAAATATGATTATTGTTATTATTATTATTACAGGAGTTATGTGATTTTCAGTACTTTGACAATGATAACGCAGACCGCACCCAAAAGTCGACTTTAGTACTTCTTCCTACTCCTCAGTAAATTCCGGATCTCATTATCATTCCCAAGGAGATCTATGAGGAGGCCTACATGGTACTGACCGACGAATGTAGGGAGATATGATACTCTCGGAATTTGCCCTTAATTTCCTCTTTTCAGCAGTCCAGTCTGTATGACTGCCATTTCCCTAATCGACATCAAGTCTACACGCTGGATATTTGATCTGGGGGTGACTGATTCATAAAACTAGTTGCACGTTCTGAGTTTGAAACATGGGCTGTGTGGTCGCTATCCGCTGGTGGTGGGAGGTGTTGGAGGTCACTAACACGGCCGTGCTGGCAATTGAAAACTAGATCGAACGGTAAGGGCTTATGTTGTGGATCACAGAGCGTAGTCACAGCTACTTCCTGTACCAGATCACACGAATGTAGTGAGTGGTAACCCGGTACCTAACCGCTATATGGACATTTACCTATCAGTTTCCTCCAGTTAGTATGGGGACATTTAGTTCCCTCAATGCAGGTACCCATCAGTGAAGTCCCGCCTGCGCAGGCAGCCTGGAGCTAAGTCATGAGCTTGGTGGTTAGGACGGAGACAGATGGCTTCGATAATAATGGTGCCTTGCCTCGAATTGATGTCGCACACGCCATTTCACAAGTAACAGTGGCATGCACTCCTGAAGTCATCAAAATTCCTTCATACATTTTCAGAGATACAGTTGTATCTCACCGCCCTTAAGACTGGTGACTCTGTCCATCGTTACTCAGGTAAATTCTGGTACGGTGGTACAAGATCTTTAGCTTATAAAAGCTACGTTTCCGTTGCCACTGTTGCACCGGGCTTTTGGCCTTCGACTAAATCTCTTGTCTGGGATCATTATTCCCGAGGTTATGGTAGTTAGTGCAGCACACCTTCATGCTACCCGAGTGTTTATCCAACTTACGAACAGCAGCTACAGTAACAATGGCTTCCGGAGACTTTGTGTATTTGGGATCTTTTCTACCTTTTCCTGCCGGGACTTTAGCCCGGCCACGGACCCCCTTCTCCTAATCCTGGCACAACGCGCCATAAAGCCTGAGCTGTCTATCAGATGCTTCCGAGTCCACTGACTGCTTCAAGAAATGAAATATTATGCTGCACTTTGTGTCCCTGATTTTAGGTTCGGTACTTACCGCCTTTGATGTGCATTTGACCTCTTTATATATCTCTTCTGCCAACGGCTGAGCTTTTTCTGGCCTTTAGGAATAGCAATCCTCTTGGACTGAGGTACCTCTATGCCATCCAAAGCATTCAAGTGATTTGAGAACCGTGGTACGTGAACCAGAATTGTGCAATGATATTGAATGATGGATAAACATCCACAAAAATTATACGACTGTTCTACACGAACTGTAAGTGGATGATAAGAAATGAACTGGTATACACCCACCCATAAAACAGATCTGGATATTGGTAAGTGAGTCACAGTTGCCGCACGGTTTGGATTTATGCGCTACCCATATTTTATCTTCTCAAGAAAACCACAATGGATCAAAATATCAATCTAAATTCCCTAACACCTACCCAAAAAGGGCAGCTAATGGAACAAATGAGAGCTGAAGTTGCTTTAGCGAGCGCAAGGGAGCTCCTAGAGGTATGAAACTAAGTATAAATACTAATGTTTTCAGAAAATGTCCGATAAATGTTTTGAAAAGTGTATTACTAAACCAGGAACAAGTCTGGACAACTCAGAACAAGTAAGGTACTACTTTTTAAAACTATTACGTGCATAGAAATGCGTAGGCTTGTGCATGGACCGTTACGTAGAAGCTTGGAATCTCGTATCCAAAGTATTTGCAGCGCGCATAAGACGTGAAGCTGAAAAAATCTAAAACACTAGTTTTTTATACACTGTGTTGTACATAGATTTTTAGATCCCAAAGTGCTTTTTTACAAAACTTTGTAATAGGGTGGTTGTTATATTGATAGATCTTGGATGGTAAATACCTCTTATGCCCCTTTATTTACTGCTTACACAGTGTCGGATGGTATAAAAACAGTTTTTAAGATTAAAAACGTCTTATAGTTAACTGTTATAAACAAGCTGTTTTGAGATGACTCAGTGGTTTGTTGCGACTACATCTTTTCTCCACTTATTTGGACCCTCACTTTCAAGTTTCACCTGATAAAAGGAATGTATACCTGATTTTGTTCTGTAATTCCTAGATTAATACAATATTAAACCTTTTCCCAAGACAGGAGGAAAGCCATCTGGGATGTTTGAATTCTTGTATTAGGTTGTCATACATTTACCAAGAGTTTGTTCCGATAAATGTGGTGTGTACTTCTTTGTACGTATCAAATTAAGTGTCATTTTTAAACCTGCAAGAATAAAATGAACCCTAAAGTGCGAATCGTTATTGACCAGAAGGCTTCAGCATGAATCTGACAAATAACCAAACAATACACCCAATTTCAACCTGTTGTCTTCATTACGTATCAGCATACATTAATTTCATATTAGAAATCTGGATGTTGTTACTAATTAGTGAATCTGTATTACTATCACTAAACTAATCCTACTTGAGTGACAACAGCTGTTCGGACTCCAACCGAATGATGATTAACATCAACGAACACAATCTTTAGTCAATAGACTGAATTATTGCGAATGAAATTGTGGCTAGTCAATGGTCGTAAATACTACATGAGGTTAGCTGCGAAATAAAAGCCAAATGGGAGCTAGTAAATTGCGTCAAGTGAGTGTTAAATAAGACTCCTGACTTCCACAGTATATGCACATATCCTTACCGTCACTAAGCACTAGAAAGATTCTGATCGAGTTTCAAAAATAAATATACACTTACATTTAGTTCATTTTGGTCTTCGTACCAATGCTAATCCGTACCAACATGAGACCTAACATTACTTCGCAACGATCCAAGTTACCTTATTTCATATTAGCACATCTAGCTAGAATGCACAAAGATGGAAGATAAATTCGGAAAAATGCGGCGGGAAGTCATGAAAAAGAACGATAAGGATTGAAATAACAATAAAATTCAGTGCGGTGACTGAGATTATTATATATAGGTTCATCTGTGCCATTGCGATTGACTTTAATCCCTGTTTTCTGAAGTTTTCAATTGCCGACTTCGGTTGTTACATGGACATCAACCAGGAAGTCTAGATTTCCAAACATGACTCAAAGCAATAGTCATCAGTCCATGGACTGATGTAACTCAATCTGATACAAGTCTGTGAACTAGGTTGTAATCCAGACTTTTTGTATGCGGACTTATGATACTTCCTGGTCATTATGCCCAAAATCTAGCAACAATTCTTGATTCTTACTGCTCTCAGATATATTACCACTGTAGTTAAGCTTTTAAGCATAAATTATGTAAGTATATTTAAAAAACTTGTTCAAAAAGTTGTTTCAACTCAGTCTTTCAGTAACATACACACAATCCATTTTCACAAGTTGATTATACACTAAGTAGTATGTCAATAATGCAAACCGTTAGGAAGTAATTTTTCAAGTAACTAGGATCTCTTGAGATTGAATAGTTATACATGTCCCTTGAAAATAATAGTTTTCGAGAGTTCATGCTATTATGGCAACCAGTGATGGTCATATAACGAATACCTTCTGTAATATTACATAGCCATGACGTCAGTACAAATATAGAGTAAACCAAATGTTATGGATTAAACTGCAGCTCTATGGTCAAGTCATTTGACCATTACTAACCATTGAGTTGTCATTTTAAATCCACTTTTTTCACCTTGGCTTAGACAATTAAGTTTTCCTGCCTTTTGATTAAACCCCTAAAAGGTTTCTAACTCTGAATAACAAAATCAACATAGAACCTTGTACGCAAGTGCATGGTTTCAAGTTGCCACACTTCACAGTTATACGCAAAGAACAGGTGGATGAAAGTGATATCAAAGTAGATAAAGTAGTATGAGAGAATAAACAAGATAAAGGTTAGTGTGAATATTCAAGCTTTAGAAGATGTGAATGAGTGAATACATCTGCTCCACTGTAACCAATTTCTAGTCATGTCACGAAAAGTCAACCGCTGATTTCTTTCGTCTTGCGAATGACAGTCAGACAGTCTACGTCTCCCAGCACGGCTCAAGCCAACAGTAAGAGACTTCATGGACTGGTACCACGTCTTAGTCTGGCCATACTGAACCCTCTCCCAACCTAAGCCAACTTCCCACGGCATAACACGTCGAAGTAGGCGATGCCTCGGCATTCATAGCATATGTCTAGGCCATCTTAGCCTATGAAGGTTCACAACCGAACTTCATGTATTTCCTATTACCCTTTGCCTGACTTCAACATCAGTCACACGATGATCCCAACAAACGCAAGCAATGCTACTAAGACATCTGTGATCTAAACCCTGTAATCGCTTCGTGTCTTGTGCTTTTAATGGCCACACCTCATAGCTGGACAAAACGCGCTGCAGCACAGTTTCTAACCCATTCATAATTCATGGACGTCCAACTACCAAGCTTATCTTTCTAGCTTTTCGATTCATATGCTGCATTTAAAGGTAAGCTGTTTGAAAAGAGACTAGGCTCATCAAGATAGAAACTCAAATAGTAAACTTGTTTCATTCCTACATATTTTAGCAGCACAGTGCTGAAGGTTACAAAATGTAAAATCGCCTGGTTAACTAGTTTACTAGTTACTAGCCGGTCCTAAGCCCGGGTAAAGAGGGAAGGTTGGGCATAGGGCTAGCAACCCTACCCCGTAAAACAAATCTAACCGCTAAAGAAACTTCAAAGCACAAACAAAATATAAAAAATGAAAACAAACTTATTCCCCGCTGGAATCGGAGAGGCGAAATGACGCCAGTTGGTGAAAGCCTTCGGGAAGCCAATTGGCCGATGTGTCTTCTCTCGATGAAAGCGAAAGTAAACGTGGGGACATGGAATGTCCGCACGATGTTTGAACCCAGTAAGGCAGCCCAGATTGCAAGGGAGATGAGAAGGTATAACATCGAAGTGCTTGGGATTTGCGAAAGCAGATGGAATGGGAGTGGACTCTCCAAACTGTCAACTGGAGAATCAATAATCTACTCCGGTCACCCAGACGCCAACCACGAGCACACTGAGGGAGTGGCTATCATGATGTCCTCAAGAGCATCGAAGGCTCTCATGCAGTGGGAACCAATCTCCTCCAGGATCATGACAGCAAGATTCAACTCAAAAGGAAGAAAGGTCACAATCATACAATGTTATGCACCTACAAATAATGCAGAGCAAGAGAAAAAGGAGGATTTCTACAGACAACTTCAATCAACACTGGACAAGACGTCAGTTGGCGATATCAAAATTCTGATGGGCGACATGAATGCCAAACTGGGAGGGGACAACACGGGAAGAGAACTAACCATGGGTCGAGAGGCACTAGGTGAAATGAATGAGAATGGAGAATTGTTTGCAGAATTCTGCGCATTCAACGATTTGGTGATTGGAGGCAGTGTGTTCAGGCACAAAGATATCCACAAAGCGACATGGATTTCACCAGATGGACACACTAAAAATCAAATCGACTTTATCTCAATCTCAAGAAAATGGAGACGCAGTCTACTTAACACAAGGTCAAGAAGAGGAGCAGATGTAGGTTCAGACCACTACCTAGTGCAAGGAACCTTCCAAATCAAGTTAAAAGCCTTCAAGGAAGCTGGTGATAGACCTCAATTCAAGTACAACACTCGGAAACTGAAGGATGAAACTACAAAGGAGATCTTCAAGGCAGCCATCAAGACAAAATGGGAGACATCGAGCAACATCCCTGAAGAAACCTGTGTGGAAGAACATTGGAAGTCTTTGAAAGCTATGTGGAAAGAAACCTGCACAACAGTATTAGGAAGGAAGAAGGTGGAAGACAAGGAATGGATCTCGACGGATACCTGGAAGCTGATAGAGGAGAGGAGGATGGTGAAGCAGAAGATAAACCAGTGCAAGGATGCTCAACGACAAGAGGAACTGAGCACAATGTATAAAACACTGGACAAAGAAGTGAAGAAGAGTGCACGCAACGACAAAAGACACTTCTACGAAACACTGGCAAGTGAAGCAGAACAGGCTGCAGGTAAGAGAGACCTGACGACATTGTATCAAATAACCAGGTTGCTATCAGGGAAGAGACCAACACAGATGAAACCAATAAAAGATGAAGAAGGAAATTTAATTACAAAAGAAGAGAAACAGAGGAAACGATGGGCCGACCACTTCAAGAAGCTCTTGAATCGACCACCACCTGCACTTCGTCCAGAAATACCACCTGCAGCCGCTGAACTACAAGTGAACATTAATCCCCCAACGAAAATGGAAGTCCTGAACGCCATAAAGCTACTGAAATGTGGGAAAGCAGCAGGACCAGATGGAATACCGCCAGAAGCACTGAAAACAGATGCAGAGACAACAGCGGCCATGCTCACACCACTATTGCAGAAGGTGTGGAAGGAAGAGAAGGTACCTGACGATTGGAAGAAGGGTTACCTTGTCAAACTGCCGAAGAAGGGAGACCTCAGTGCTTGCAAGAACTGGCGCGGAATCACTCTCCTGTCCACCCCAAGTAAAATATTAAGCCGCATCATCCTGGAGAGGCTAAGGGATGCACTGGATTCAAAACTACGACCGGAACAGGCAGGCTTCAGGAAGTACAAATCATGTGCAGACCAAATTGCAACGCTTCGCATCATCATAGAACAGAGCATAGAATGGCAATCACCTCTCCACCTCAACTTCATCGACTTTGAGAAGGCCTTTGACAGCGTCGACCGAGAGGTAATTTGGAAACTGCTTCATTACTACGGAGTGCCGCAAACCTTTATCCGCCTCATTCAACAACTATATGAAGATGCCACATGCCAAGTAATCCACAATGGGAAGCTCAGTGATGCCTTTGAAGTGAAGACAGGAGTGAAACAAGGTTGCCTACTATCCCCCATGATATTCCTTATTGTGGTGGACTGGATCATGCAGCAAACAGTAGGCAGCGAGAAGAGGGGGATACACTGGACGACGGAAAAGAACCTAGAAGACTTGGATTTCGCCGATGACTTATGCCTAATGTCACATAAACTTGAAGATCTGCAGGCAAAAACTAACAAGTTGATAGAAGAGGCAGCGAAGACGGGACTTCAGGTGAATATAGAGAAGACAGAAGTGATGAAGATACCGCACCACCACCATCAACAACAACAAACTCCAATCACCGTCAACGGGAGAAACTTAAAGGAAGTAACCTCCTTCACTTATCTAGGAAGCACTGTTTCAACTACAGGCGGGACGGACGAGGACGTCAAAGTCAGAATCGGAAAAGCAAGACAGGCATTCATTAGCCTGAAACCAGTGTGGAGATCTTCTGCACTCAGCATGCGGAACAAGATACGGATTTTCAACACCAACGTCAAGTCAGTGCTCTTGTATGGCTCAGAGACTTGGCGCGTCACGAAAGGTATTTCCAATAAACTACAGACATTCATCAACAACTGCTTACGCTCGCTGCTGAAGATCAGATGGCCAGAAAAAATAAGCAACAAGGAACTCTGGGAACGAACCAACCAAGAACCTATCACGCAACAAATATGCAGGAAGAAGTGGAGATGGATTGGCCATGCACTGAGAAGGCCGACTGAGGACATCACGCGTCAGGCCCTCGAGTGGAATCCCCATGGGAAGCGACGAGTTGGACGTCCGAAGGTGACATGGAGGAGGTCGTGCGAGCAGGAAATGAGAGCTTCTGGGCTGTCGTGGGACCAGGTTCAAAAGATCTCAGAGAACAGAGGTCACTGGAGGCGTGCTACTGAAGCCCTATGTTCCACTAGGAACCCAAGGGACTAATAATAATAATAATAGTAAAACGCTTCAAATGTGCTATCCGAAATGCGGTGATAACAGCAAGGTTGTAAACTGGAAATCTGTTGTGAACAAGAGTTAGAAATCTTAGTTAAAACCGATGATAGTTTAATATCTTTACAGACAGAATTCTAGAGTTGCTGAGAAAGAGTTGAATAAAAATTCAGTTGCCAAATAACAACGCAAACACATGAATGATTTACAACTCAGTTTGTCAAAAGAAAGCGGTGACAAAATTGAGACAATATTCACCTACTAGAATAAGATAAGGTTAATTAAGTTCACTTACTATGTGTGAAAGTTAAGTGAAAAATCTCTAATTTCAGTGGAACTGAATACTTTATTTATGTTGAGAGATATCTACTTGTTGTCTTGTTTGGATCAGGTGTTTGTGGTATTTGTTTATGACAGTTCTTCCTGGAATTTACTCTGTCAAATGTAAGTAATCGCTTCCACAAATAAGATTAAATGCAGCTGGTAACATACGGAAAGAAGTTATTTACCTTAGACGGGGTTAATGAGCATGTATTTTTTTTAAACGGACCTGAGTTTAACAGCAAAAAGGATCCTTTTCAGCGTTTGTCTTATGTGTAGTTTATCTTGGATATTAAACGAATAGGAATCAGTTCTTATTTCTTCAGTAAATATTTTGCTGTATTTCAGGATAAATGTCACAGGGTATGCGATACGCTTAAGAACCTTATTGATCACAGAAGATAACATGTTGTTCTTTGAGGATAGCATCCTAGCCCTGTTGAAAAATACCTTAACTATACCTCACTTTTAAATGACAAGATGAAATCTAGCATAGTTCATTTACTGAACTAGTTACGTCTCTTTCCTGTAGATTGTTTTCTTAGTTGTACCATAATTTCTGTGTTGTACACTTAGACTTAGAAAGTAAAAGGTTTTTTCCCTTCTTACTCCATCGTGAAATTTATGTTAGAATGGACTCGGTTCAAAGTCTTAAATAGTATTATTCCTATCATCAAAGGCGACAGATATATCATTAACACTCTGACAATAATCCCATTTCTTTGAATTCACATATGGTTTCCAAGAAATAAATGGTGATGATTTCAGTTAATAGGGATCCTATAACTACTCTGAGGGTATTCTAATACGATTCTCTGATAAAGTGGGGTTAAATATGTTTTGCAGTGAGAACCAGTAGTTTTGTTGACTCTTTTTCGGTCATACTGGTCAGCCAATAGTAAAATGGGACGTGAGCGCACGAAGGCCTAATTCTCATCAGAATCCATAAGACTAAAAGAAGACAGGACAATGCGAAGTGTTATTTGTTGGTTAAGATGAAGATAAGGTGTGAATATATATGCACCATGGCTATCATTTCGGGACCATATCACTTAGGGTCTTCATCTATCGACTTCAATTGCGTAATGGAAACCCAACAGTCGAAAATGTCAAGGACAGGACTGATGTCACATTTTAGTCTAGCGACTCTCAATTTTCTCAAACTAACTGGATGTCATAATTTATTTAGTGGTGGTTAGCAGTGAAATCTAGGAGGTGCACTCCGTCCTATTATAACGTAATGAATATGGAGTCATCCGTATAGAAGCTTACATCCCAATAGATGTCAATCCCGTATAACAAAGGGAAATTATAAGTATCAAAAAAAGATAACCTGACGCCGGCTTGCATCACACGTTCAAGCAGATGGTGATACATGTCTTAGCCACTTCAGCTGATTGTCTCAACAACTGATGGTGATTCAAGTAGATCATATTGTTGATAGTTTCACTCATTAGTATTGGTAAAGAGTGGACATGCTCAGCTATTAAGCTCAAAGAATGTCTTATCGGTCACTTACTTCATATTTACCCCATAAATGAGTTACAGATATGCCTATATATTCAGTTGAATTCTCACTAACTGATTGTATGTACATGACAGTCTTATTATTATTATTAGTCCCTTGGGTTCCTAATGGAACATAGGGCTTCAGTAACACGTCTCCATTCCACTCTGTTCTCTGAGATCTTTTGAACCTGGTTCCACGACAGCCCAGAAGCTCTCATTTCCTCCTCGCACGACCTCCTCCATGTCACCCTCGGACGTCCAACTCGTCGCTTCCCATGGGGATTCCACTCCAGGGCCTGGCCTGAAGTGTGATGTCCCAGTCGGCTTTCTCAGTGTATGCCCAATCCATCTCCACTCCCTTCTGTATATTTGTTGGGCGATAAGTTCTTTGTTGGTTCGTTGTCAGCATCCAGAGCTCCTTGTTGCTTATTCTTATTGTTCTGGCCATCTGATCTTCAGTAGCGAGCCAGCGTAAGCAGTTGTTGATGAATGTCTGTAGTTCATTGGAAATCCCTTTCGTGATGCACCAAGTCTCTGAACCATACAGAAGCACTGACTTGACGTTGGTGTTGAAAATCCGGATCTTGTTCCGCATGCTGAGTGCGGAAGATCTCCACACTGGTTTCAGGCTAATGAACGCCTGTCTTGCTTTTCCGATTCTGACTGGCTTTGACATCCTCATCTGTGCCTGTTTCGCCTGTAGTTGAAACAGTGCTTCCTAGATAGGTGAAGGAGGTTACTTCCTTTAAGTTTCTCCCGTTGATGGTGACTGGAGTTTGTTGTTGGTGGTGGTGCGGTATCTTCATCACTTCTGTCTTCTCTATATTCACTTGAAGCCCCGTCTTCGCTGCCCTGCCTCTTCTGTCAACTTGTTAGTTTTGCCTGTAGATCTTCAAGTTTATGTGACATCAGGCACAAGTCATCGGCGAAATCCAAGTCTTCTAGGTTTTTTCCGCAGTTCAGCACATGACAGTCCTATGCGTCGTTAAAATCGTACCGCTTATTTCTGTATAGACTGTATTCACTTAAATCGTTTTATTCTTATGAAGTACGAAGTTGTTTGAACTTTTAGGGGAGTGCTAGAATTGTGTGATATATGTGAACTACGTGAATTACCTATATTATTTTCTTCCTTGAGGCGTTTGAGATTTCTAGTTTTCATGAGTTGCCAACACACGCCTGTCTAATTTATGCGTATTGGAATCATTTTACGTCAGAGCGGCAAAGATCTACCTCTTAGTCTGAACTTCCTTAAAGATAAGCCATTAACTCACTTTTTTCGAGATTTCTATAAGATACTTAATCTTTCTTGATTCCATATTGCTGCAAACTTTTAGAACTCATCAACTTAACACACTAAAGAGTCATTCATGGTCAGCGTTTAATGCATATTATTATTTGTCCTATTGGTTCCTAGTGGAACAGAGGGTTCCCTAGCACGTCACAATTTCACTCTCTTCTCTACAGTCTTTCAAACCTGGCTCCAACACTGCTCAAAAGCTTTCATTTCTTCCTCACACCATCCCATCCATCTCACCCTCGCCCCAGACGCCCGACTCATCGTTTCCCCTTTGCGTTCCACTCGACGACCTGGCCTGCCTCATGATGTCCCCAAATGGTCTTCTCACTATATGCCCAATGTAATCCATCTCCACTTTCTTCTACTGCATATTTGTTGAGCGATAGCTTCTTGATTGGTTCGTTGACAGCCAGTCAGCCAGAGTTCCTCCTTACTTATTCTTATTATTCTGGCCTTCTGATCTGATCTTCAGTATCGAGTGAGCGTAGGCAACAACTGTTGATCACGTATGTCTGTGGTTTGTTGAAAGTGCTTTTCGTAACACTGCAAGTCTCTGAACCAGCACAGAGAAGCACTGACTGAGTAAGTGTTGGAAATCCGGATGTTGTTCACGCTTTATGCTGATTGGATTGGATTGGAGTGCAGTAGATGTGCACACTGATTTCACGTTAATGAAGGCGTGTTTTGCTGTCTTTCTGATCGTGGTTTTGACGTCGTCATCTGTGCCTGTGCCGCCGTGTGTAGTTGAAACGATGCTGCCCTGCCTAGATAGGTGCAGGTGAAAGAGACAACTTCCTTTAGGTTTCTCCCGTTCATGGTGATTGGTGTTTGTTGTTGTTGGTTGGGTATCTTCATCACCTCTGTCTTCTCTTTGTTCACCTGAAGGGGTCGTGTCTTCGCTACCCTGTCTCTTCTATCAATTTGTTGGTTTTTGCCTGTAGATCTTCGAGTTTTTGCGATAAGACAGACATAAATCATCGGCGAAATCATACTTTATCATTATTACACCAGTTGTCTTTGTTGACCCCCTTTTTAATTATAGTGACTTCATCATCTAGGTAGAGTGGTGATGAGTGAAGGCTATCTGAGACATTGTGTCCAAGCACTACATATTTCTAAATAACCTGGTTGCTAATGCATCTTTTCCGGACACTGGGAATACTGTATTATTTGCAGGTCGCAAGACACTCGATTCTAAGTAAACAGCGTTTTTTTGTACTATTTATAGTACAACGTAGAACAAATAAGACGATTAACAGATGCAGAAGTCGAAAAATGTATTGGAATGAAAGTGAAAACCGATTTGATAAAATGTTTATCTTAACAAGTAGTCAGCGCTCTTCAGGATAAGTGAAGCTTCACATTTTTCGTACGCATGTAATACTACTCGTTAATAATAAGTAGCGTAAATTTTCAACCGGAAAAGGGAGGCAAAGCTTAACTGTCTACGTTACGCATGTGTGAGGGTATAATCTAATTGAGTCTTTTGTCCAATTAGTGAATATGAAGTAAGGTAGTCAAATCAAACACATTGTATAACCCTTCACTAAATGAGAATCTGTCTGTACGTTCGAACGACTTTCGCAGTATTCTGAGACTGAAGCCTTTTTCATTCAATTGATAAACTCACATCACATGGCCTGTTAGTAAGATATTCAAAAATTACATAGTCAATATCAACATTTATCAAGTACGGATTTGATGATCTGAAGAAATTTGAGTATTGGATAGATGATAGTCATTACTTTAATATTTGGGAAATGCAAATATTTATAAGCTGCGTTGTCAATAGGGTATCCATGAAAGTCTTTTCAAGCCTTATGATAGCTCATTTCACTTCGTAACTACCGTCAGCTATCTGTGA